GGGGGGGGAAAGCAGCGTGTATTTTTTGGGTGCAAAGCCCGGACTTTGCAAAACAATCTCCGCCCCCGAGAGGATATTTAATCTGCAACAGAGATCGCTGCTGGCGGAGGCAAACTTGAGCCGGGGAAGGGGAGCAGGGAGCGGAGGGAAGGGACCCCCGCCCCGCTCCCGGCCCCGCCGGACCCCGACCCTGCAAGGGAAGATGCGTTTCTCCTTCCCGGCGGCTGCTCTTGGGACGAGACTTCTGTCTGGACTGATCGGGACTGGACTTTTAAAGGACGTGCTTACCCATCTAAGGGCGATTTGGGCATAAACAGCAACACAAACTCTGATTTGGTGCTGGAAGCTGCCTCTGCCACTGAACAGCTGCTCTCACCCTGCTTCTGTCCCTCCCCCGTCCCGTTCTCAAACGAGGATCCTGAGCTATTTTGCCTTTTTTTTTTCCCAATTGTTGTTGCATGAATTTTATTTTAGGTGGTTGCCTTTTCCGGCTGGCTTGGCTGTTTTGGGATCTCGCAGACTGTGAGCTGCAGTAGCAGCTCCACCACCCCTCGCCATGGCTAGCCCCACGGATAATAGCGAGGGTTTCTTCTCAGATGTCAGGAAGGTGGGTTACTTGCGCAAACCCAAGAGCATGCATAAACGATTTTTCGTGCTGAGGGCAGCCAGTGAGTCTGGACCCGCCCGGCTGGAGTATTACGAGAATGAGAAGAAATGGAGACACAAGTCAGGGGCCCCCAAGCGCTCCATCCCACTAGAAAGCTGCTTCAACATCAACAAACGGGCTGACTCCAAGAACAAGCACCTGGTGGCCCTCTACACCAAGGACGAGCACTTTGCCATAGCAGCTGACAGCGAGCCCGAGCAGGAGAGCTGGTACCAAGCACTGCTGCAGTTGCACAACAGGGCCAAGGGCCACCATCACCTCCATCACCATCACCACCACCACCACAGTGATGTCACCTTCGGAGGCAGCAGCATGGGACTGGGGGAAGCAGGTGAGGATAGCTATGGTGAGGTGGCCCCTGGCCCGGCTTTCAAGGAAGTTTGGCAAGTAATTCTGAAGCCTAAGGGCCTAGGCCAGACAAAGAACCTGATTGGCATCTACCGCCTGTGCCTGACTAACAAGACCATCAGCTTCGTGAAGCTGAATTCAGATGCGGCTGCTGTGGTGCTGCAGCTGCTCAATATCCGTCGCTGTGGTCACTCTGAGAACTTCTTCTTCATTGAGGTGGGGCGTTCGGCTGTCACCGGTCCCGGGGAGTTCTGGATGCAAGTGGATGACTCGGTGGTGGCGCAGAACATGCACGAAAAAAACATGCACGAAACCATACTGGAGGCCATGCGAGCCATGAGTGAGGAATTCCGGCCCCGCAGCAAGAGCCAGTCCTCCTCCAACTGTTCCAACCCCATCTCCGTGCCCCTTCGCAGCAGGCATCACGTCAACAATCCTCCGCCTAGCCAAGTGGGGCTCAGTCGGAGGTCCAGGACCGAGAGCGTCACGGCCACTTCTCCTGCTGGTGGTGGAGGTGGTGGTACGGGTGGCAAACCCAGCTCTTTCCGGGTCCGAGCATCGAGCGATGGGGAAGGCACCATGTCAAGACCTGCCTCTGTGGATGGTAGCCCAGTTAGTCCCAGTGCTACCCGGACTCATTCACATAGACACCGTGGCAACTCCAGGCTCCATCCTCCCCTCAACCACAGCCGGTCCATCCCAATGCCTTCGTCACGCTGCTCTCCTTCAGCCACCAGTCCAGTCAGCCTGTCATCCAGCAGCACTAGTGGCCATGGCTCCACCTCAGACTGCCTGTTTCCTCGAAGATCGAGCGCTTCGGTTTCCGGCTCCCCTAGCGATGGTGGATTTATTTCTTCTGATGAGTATGGTTCCAGCCCGTGTGACTTTCGCAGCTCTTTCCGCAGTGTGACCCCCGATTCGTTGGGACACACTCCACCAGCCCGGGGCGATGAAGACCTCAACTACATCTGCATGGGGGGGAAGGCCACGTCCTCCTGCTGCAGCCTGGCAGCCCCCAATGGCCACTTCATCCCGCGCACCTGCCATCCTCAGCAGCAGCCTCGCTACCCTAGCACGCCCTGCTGTCCTCGAGGTGGTAGCGAGGAGGTCGCCGACCTGGAGAAGGCGTTCAGGAAGCGAACTCACTCTGCGGGCACTTCGCCCACCATCTCGCACCAGAAGACACCCTCGCAGTCCTCGGTGGCCTCCATCGAGGAGTACACGGAGATGTTGCCT